ATGGGGGGGCTGTCATGTAATGTGTGGAAGATGATACCGATCCGTCATTCCTCTGTATCCTACCATCAGATAGTGGTCAGGACTACAGACTGTAAATAGGTCGGTGTACGCGTGGTGGAGATGCAGATATGCAGATGAAGATCAGCGGTGCAGTGGGGTAGAAAAGCAAAAGAGTGGCCGGGAGACTGTAATGGTCACAGCTCTGAGGGTTGTCTGGGATGTCACTGATGTCCCAGTTTGACGCCGTAACCAGTGCAGGGCCACAAGGCAGAACCCTCTTAGGCTAATCTCGTTAAGTCAAGCATTCAAAGGGAGGGTTAAACTGCTCGCCAGCTACATGAACCAAATGTACCTGCTGGAAAACATGGACCTTTTCAGAAGTTCCTCAGCCCCCAATGGCCCTGATGATCATTGCCTGGTCTGACTCTGGTTGATCTCAAGCTGTTCCATCCTTCACTTCCCAAATTATTCCACAGTTTTGCAATTTTTATGTAATAAAAATAAATATTTGCATCACTGTAGAAAAACATTACATTACATATATTCTATTTTACAGCAACAATGAAGAACAAAAATGGTGGGTTTTGAATTCCATAATTCTCTCACTTCTCACAGGGTTGCAATAAAGCTATGCCGGTGGGGGGGTGGCTTGAATGCAAAAGTCTAATTTGTTGAAGTGACACAAGGTCTCTGAGGGGGGTAAGTGTCACGTAGAGATGAAATGATTGTGAGAGACGCGTGTGCGGGCACACTCATCTCCAACCTCCTGCCTCTAATGCAGCTGCACGCGATTCATGTGTTAAGAAGTGTGACGATCACTAAAAATTCCTGCTGCTGTAAACTGTTGTCATGCTCAGGTAAACAGAAACCCCATGGGATGTGATTACAAAGAAATGTTCTTGGTTGCAGTGGCAAAATGAATGCCTAATTTCCCAATGTCATTAATAGCTAAGAGGTTTTTGCTGATAGAGCGCGGACAAAGCAAAGAAAAAAATTGAATCATTATGGGAAAAAATAAAGAAAGTTGTAGAACTTTAAATTAGTTTCCAAACGACAAAATGATCCCAGATCAAAAACTTAGGGGAGTATATTTCTATTTGCCTCATCAGTGTCAGAAATTGTTGACTGAAATGTATGAATTGGATGGATATTGATGACATGACCAAACAGAAGCAAGCCCTGCGGCTGTGTGGGAACAGACGTACATGTCAGCATAATTACTCGGAGGATGAGCTGGTCAAGTATCCTTTTACGCACCGGAAATGGGTTGAGACCGTTGCGCATTTCCATACATATACTTACATATACAGTAATCCCTTCCTGCTCCCGTTTGCTCTGTTTCCCCTCGTGTTGCACCGTCTGGTAAAAGCTTAAAAGTCCCAAAAACCCAATGCCTTGAAATCATTTTACTTCAACTGTAACATTCGTGTTACAGCATTAATAAATGTTGTATGCTTGGACTGAAAAGCCCAGATTAAAGTGCCCAGCGTTTTTCTTCCATTTCCTTTCAGCAGATGAAAGAACAGCGTGCTCCCAGAAGCCTCCCCAACGTGACAGAGCTGCTCCCTCGCTCCATCTCATCTGTAAAGAAATCCCTGTGTTCTCCATGAGTGGGCTTAAGCATGTGTACACAAGTATCGCACAGTGACAGGTAAGGATTCACAACGCCCGGGGCAAATAAACAGACTAACCATATGGTTTCGCCGGTACGGAGGAGCCTTGAGAGCTCACATGCGTGGATACGTATATGAATAAAGAAGGGAGAGAGGCTGACAGTATAGATTATATAATGAACCACATCTTGACTACCATGAGAGCCCAATCAGGGATATGACCGTCACCATTCATCAGCCGGAGTGAGTCATCTGTATTATAACATTCCTGCTGCCTGCAGCTCACACTCTGATTCACAGCTCCGTCTCACAGGCTGGCAACCCATTTGCCTGATGACTCCGCGGTAGATTTAGATAACACAATCATAACACCATCAACAGTCAAAGAAAGCAAGCATATGAGACCGTGTTCAACTTTTTTACACTGTTATATTCCATAATCCTCATCTCAGTTACTTTTGATATTTTTGCTTTCCTGTATCACTGTCCAATTATTATCTTGCTTCAAGACGCTTGCTTTTATATGTCTTGTGAAGTATGCTGCTGGTTAGGTGTTATTTATAAGCTTTGTTTGACAAAATAAAGCTTCTGTTTGCGGAATACAAATGGCTGCCTCGGTGTGTAAGTGATGCCTCTCAGTGAATTACCGACGTGTCACATTTTGTGAACCGGAGTGCAACAATTGGTATTTGTCGGTCAAAACGTTGCCAAATTTCAGCCACGAGGTCAAATCCATCAGGAATTCTGGGCATCGCAAACCGTATTATAAAGCCAACAGCTGGCACATTAGCTTGGGTTTGATTGTGGCCATATGGCCAGTGGTGAGGAGCTGCCACGACCCGGAAACACCCCTGGTAAGATTCCCATTACCCAATGTACTTCAGAAAGGCTACATCTAGAAGAACCCCGTGGGCCTATAGCGACCATTACTGCCTGCCAAGCAGCGGACTGCAGCTCGTCCCATGTATACCGAGAGGCACGCGCGCCCCAGAATGACGCTGAAGCGGAGGCTAGTTTAAGTAGCACAGCTAAAAGCTAGACAGATTGCTTGAGTAAAATTTGTTATCTGCAAAAGTTATACAACATATTACGTCAGATTTATACGACTAAGACGGATTTAAAATGTCACTTACTTACAACATATTTAAGTGAGCAGTTACTCCTTAAATGTACAACGTCACACATACACACACACACACCTTTGGGATGCAGCACCTTTGATTATCAAGGTTTAAGCAGGGGTCAGTCCCTGGACGCATCAAGTGTGAGTTCCCAGGGTCCTTTCAAGCTGCAATGCCTCGGGTCTCACTCCTGGACTTTTAACCTTTTAACCGCCTTAGTTTCAAGGTTAACACCATCCGGGGTTACGCCATTAGAAGCGTTTCTCCCCTGGTCCCTAAACAAAACGGTTGTTGCCAAACGCTTATACGATGCCAGAGCTCTATATTTTTGTTTTACAGACCTTCTCCTTGATGTATCTTTGTTAAACGTGATACAATCTTAAGCTGCTTTTTCCATTCATTGTTTCAGAAAAAGTGCAAAAGAAAACGCTTCTGCTGTAGAGGAAGGGGCTGCTTGCTTGAAGCATCACTAACAAGATGTATAATGATCGACACTGGCAGTTGAAGAGATTGCCCCTCTGACCTTTGGTCTATAGGACAGCCACTGTAACTGAAAATGCAAATTGGCATTTGCTATTTTTAGGCACTGAGCTAATGTGCATCCACATCAACAAACTGCAAGCGAGTCTATAAACATTCAGCGCCTTACTGAGCGATCACCTCAAACCACAGACAGGTTTTAATCCTGTGACCCTCTGATAAGGGACAGAATTGTTAACCTCACCTCCTGTAAGGGGAGGGGCAAGGGCTGCACCCTTGGCGTCGGCGCGTGCTCCTGACCAACCAAAAGGTAATCAGGCCTGTAGACACAAAACCACAGCGCCATCCAACACCCACGGCGTACATTGCTAGAGGTTGGAGGTTGACACACGATAGCCAGCCGCTTACAAAATACGGAGGCACAAACTGCGCTGAGGCCCCCCTGCCTTCGGGGTTGTCTCCCATAGCGTTCTGTTTCTGTTTCTTTCTGTTTTCCTAACAGGTGTGAACACCTGAGGATGTAAATGGTGATTTGTTTTGACAACTGTGTACATCCCTAATGAAATCTGCAACCTCGCAGGATAACAGTTTTCTAAAAACACTGTCCAGGATGTTTGTGTATTGATGTGACTTTTCCTTCCTTCTGCTTGTGTTCCAGGGTTTAAAGTGATGTTTTAGTACAAAAAAAAAACTGCATTCATACTCACACCCCCTTGAATCGTTTTCCTACACCAAGTCCATATGTTATAACTGTAATACCAGCTGGAGAGCCGTTTCCACTTGCATATTTCACATATCACACTTCTGCGAGCAGTTAGTCTGACCCTTAACTCTTCTATAAATACGATGCTGTCTGTGTGAAAGTATGCAAATTCCAACAATATGTTCCTTTGAAATCCAAACCACGGTTTGGACCGAATGAGAATCATTTGGTATGCATATGTTTAGATCTGATAACTGATCAAGGGTGTTAACAGCCCAAACAAGATTAGAGCCAAGTGGAACCTTTGCATCAACCGATTAAAGAAATATGGCACTTGGAAGATGGAAGATGGGTTTTTACTGAGGCTGCTAATTGTCAGTCAGAGGTACCAGCCTACAAACTCAGCCGCCAGCCTCTTACCCCAACAAGAGATGCTGTTGTCGATTAGCTCTCTGTGCCCACAACAGCCTTCCTAATGTCCCATAAAACCCAAATACACCTATTGACCTTGTTAAACACAGAGATTTGCAAGATGGAGCCTGATTTGAACAGCCTCTCAAATGCTCAGTTTAACTTTATTATGTCGAGGGCTGAAATCCAAAGCTTCAACGCGAAAGCAGTGACACACATAGCACATCGATAACTATACCAAATCCTTCAGATTCACATCTTATTTGTTACCTGCTGTGACCAAACCCCAGATAAGCTTGATTAAAGCTACACAGTCCGCCTTCAGTCATTTAAACCAACAAGCTTTTTCTATCTGTGTTTCAATGCCCACAGGCATCCAACGCTGCAATGTCAGTTTGCCTCCAGAAAGTTATCTGCTGAAAAGATGTAGTTTTATCATTTCATACAGAAAAAGCTTGTGCTCTTGTTTTTACTCCAACTACAAGAGAATGACTGATGGCGCCGGATAGAAAGGGACCAACAAGACATTGTTGGATTAAGGATGGAATGTATGTTAAGTAAATGGTCCGTGTAATAAGTAACAAAGTGACAAAGTTAGATGATAGTAAGGCAGAGGACATGTACTATATATGTATATACACCGGTCTATTACCTGTTCATACACCTACGTACCTTTTACGATCAGGTTGAGGATCTTTGGCTGAGGGTTGCGCTCACTCTGAATGGAGCACGTGTACTGGCCGTCGTCAGATACGTCCACTTTCTGAATCTGAAGGCTGTACTCGTGTTTATCCCCAACGCTGGACACAATGGAGACACGTGGGTCCACAGACCACTTGTCGTTCCCTGCGAATATGATGCCGGAGCGGTTCAGCCAGGCTCCTTTAGAGATCCCATCCAACAGGTAGCACCTACAATGACAAGAGACATTTCAGTCGGATCAGGACAAATACTTTGGCAAGACTTACAAAAAAAATAAAATCGCAATGAATAATCTCTCGGTTAGCACAGGATTGTGCTTTCTTAAATGATATTGATTTTTTTGTTTATTGCAAGACCACAGTGCGGAACATATGGACCAAATTACGTATCAAATTTCAGTTATGGCCATAAAATACGGAATTCACGGTGTGACTGAAAGACCAGATTTAACTAGCAGCTGTGGCCTGGCTGTTTTATTCTTAAGCACGGCTGCTGTTGGGTCTTCTGAATGGGTAAAGACATTTAGCAAAGGTGGCACATTATTTTCATTTAGAAGTCCAAAAGGTTTTGTTGACTAAACTTAATTTAGATTGGGTCTTGGCTGGCTTCACAACAATGGAGGTTCATTATTGAAAAAGGGTTTTAGTTTTTGCATTCTAATCCGATGAATAGAATGCAAGAAATGACTTTGCTCCACTTTTAACTGTGTTCTGTCAAAGTTCTGTGGATGTTCACCTTTCAGGTTAAAAGCTTGGTTCTTAGGTTTATTGACCTATTTTCAACTGCCTTTAACCTTTTAGTCTGTTAAAAGTTACGTTATGTCAGACCAAAGTTGCAAAGAAAAAGGAAAGAGTGGACTGTAAATACATTTTTAATTAATTGCAGCGGTTTTTATTTTTCACTTTACTGACTTTACGTTATCATCAATCATCAAAAGGTAACATCCTTTGGACCAGCCACACATAATCAAACATCCCTGGCTCTAAAAAAAAGACTTGTATTCTAAGTAACTTGTAAGACATGAGGATGAGGTCGCCATTACCATCCGCCTGGCACTGTTAAAAGTCTAGACATAAGAAATCCCATCACATTGTGTGACAAATACTGTAGTAATGAGTAGGAAAAGAGGCAATCAAGTTTGTCCCTTTCTAGCTGTTGTCAAGCTGCCGTGCCGACATCCAGCACCAGTTCTAAAGCCACCGAGGAAATCACTTTGGCATTCGCCGCAGAGCTCTTCATCCGCTCTGCCAGGGAAGTGTGGGACAGGAACGCGGGTGTGGGACAATGGTCTCGTCCGGGCCGGTTTCCCCTTAAGAAGTTGCCATAGAGGCAGCGGATCAAAGAAAGAAGTGTACGTCCTATGGGTGTTGGTTAGTTTGCCCATTCTCCTTCCTGGCCCTCAGGCAAGATCTGCTGAAGGAGCCTCAAGGCAAGCATCGTATCTTTACTGCTTAAACATGTAGCTCTCCTGATTTGTAAAACTTGACCTTTGTAAAAATGTATTAAAATGGCATTAATGATGCAGCTAATTTGAAAAAGCTTCTCTGCCTTTGAGGGAAACATCTTTAAAGAGTACAGAAGCTTGAAAGCCACCTGAGCAAATGAGCGCCTTCGGTGACTAATCATTTAAGACACTTTAGTGGGACCGCTGAGATCGCCGAATTAAGCCTGAAACATTAATGCACAATGCAACTCTGCTCCGCCACTGATGTGAACAACTTGTCAACCACTTGCCGGGCTTTCATCATTACAGCCCCCCCTTGTACCAGGGTAACCACAAAATAAGGTTTTCTCCGCTGCAGCTGCTATTGTAGTGTGTTTTCTTACACTATAATTGTGCTTTCAGAATTAAATATTCACTCCATGTAGGCTTAGAGGTGGCTGTTAAAAAAAAGATAAATCTTTCAAAAGGGATCCGAGGCTGTGAAAAAAGGGTCCCTTTAAGGGCAACCTTGTGAGGATGTACTTGGGATTTGAAAAGCCGGTGGGCCAGATGTACGGCGGAAGGACACTTCACACCGACAACATTGGACTTTTGGCCTTTTCCTTCAGTGAAAAGAATCCTCATGTTCTTTCCCTTTTTTCGGCAGTTAGCTTAAGACTGTTGATGTCTTTGCACTCGCTTTTCTGAAACCATTATTTTTATTTTGGCTTCTTTGTGATCTCACACCAAAGTAGTGGTAAAGATGCCTGCATCTAAACACCTCCACACAGCTGTGTCAAAACAGGACATTTTTACATTCGCACATTGTCTGAGGTGTTGTTGTTTACTGTGGCTGATTCCTACCCATCACAAGTCTTGACATGTGGAAGACTTGTGATGGGTGGAGTGAGAACAGCGGCCGCTGAAAATGCAAAGCAGTGATGAACTGGAAGTCAAGATGTCATAACTTCTTCATAATTGTCATTACTATTCTGTAACTTCTTCACAATACGAAGCATTTGGATACGACCACATCATGTGATGTGAAGAAACCGTGACCTTTAATAAGCACATTTTAACCAGTTCAACCTCTATTTGCAGGTGGATGTTTGTGCCACATTTGAAAAAATTTGCCCAAGGTGTTCACCAGAAGGAGACAGATGTGTGTTCTCAGCGACATTGACCTTTGACCTCCTAAATGGATTCGCCCTTGAGTCCAGGCGGGAGTTGATGCCAAATTTGATGAAATCCCCTCCAGGCGTTCTTGAGATATCACATCATGTTAAAGCCGTCAGATGAGGATCCCTGCTGAGGCAAATTTGTGATTTCTGATAATAGACTTTCCAAATAAATTGAATAAAAATCAGTTATATCAACTCAATATGCCTTAAATCCCCGCAAATGCAATAGTGGTTTACTGGAGTATGTAGCCTGCGGATTATGACAAATAAATCCTCATCTTGCTTGTGTTTCTCTAGATGGAGAGGAGCGAGATCCCCAGGATAATTTAGCTCGGACTGTTTCCTTCTCGTATTTACAGATGAACGTAAGCCGGGACCGATCCTGCTTAATGCCGATTTTACCAATTACGTCCCTCCATTGTACTTAAAGCAGTTGGATTTAGTACGTATGTGAGCTTTAGTATTCCTCTCCTTCCACGGTTTGACACTTTCCGTCCAAATTCATTTTAAGAATGCACTTTGGGAAAAAAAAAAGCGTTACAAACATGCTAATCATATGCTAAAACCTTGAGCATAAACTCAAAAACCCACTGCAGAGTCATGTTATCAGCTAGGTCTTTCTTCTGCCACATTTCCCTTTAGTCCCTCAGTCAGGCGTAGCTGCAGAACACTGACACCTAAGGTGGGCTTTGCTTTCATCAAGCCCCTTTTCTGTGGCAGCCCACCAGGATGCAGACTTCCCATGGTTCATACAAAGCAGAGGTAATTATTGCACAGACCTCACAGCAGCTACTCCGAACAGATTTGACATCTAAAACATGCACTAATTGATACTTCTATTTTTCCCTGCTTCTGACGGGTGACTGCAGAGGAACCGGGCTTTTTACAAGCTCACTTCTTTTCTTGTGTTTTGGCTCGCAAATTACAGTTCAATTCAGACCGCAGTGATTAGGCACGATGTGCATAGAGGGAAAGTGATAAACTGTTGTTTGAGCACCTCACATGAATAGAGAATGATGATAAACTATTCATTGCGCTGCGGCAGCTGGTAAGAGAAGCAGATCATAATCCGTTTAGTCAAACATCAGAGCATCATTCTGACTCTGATTATTATTTGCTTCACAAAATTGTTTACTAGGTTCCCTTCCTGTAAATATTTCGTCATGGTACTAACTCCCCAGGTCTTAGCTTGCAAACATATAGCTATGTTTTACAGTGTAGCAGTTTTTTTTAAATATCGCTGTCAGAGTCCCTGTGGTCTGAGATTTGTTGTTATGTAACTGTTATATAAACAGCAAGCCATGCAACCCAAGTGCAGCTTTAAAGCTGTACCGATTTCCCCTAAAACATACATTAGAAGAGATTTTTTCTCAGTTCTTACATTGTTTTCTATTGTTGTCATTGGTCCAAATGAATTTAAAAAGAAATGTAGCATAAGTAGAATAAAACAGCCATAAATGTTTTGGATGCATTTCTTTTTATGTATTTCTTTATTTCATACATTTGGTGGTTGGTGTTTATCGAGCAGACATGGATCAGAATTAGCATCCTAAAAGCCACGAGGTTAATGGAGGGGTCACACTGAACCCAACCGTAAAGTTGAAAGGCTGCACAACTAGCTGATCAAATTCTGCGTCCCTCACTATAAGCGACCAATTTCACACTACATGAATTCTTAATTCATTATTAATAACAATATTGATCTGTGCAGCTTTGAATGAAAAACATGTAATTGGCATTTTAAGCGGGCCGTACAAATTGCAACTTGACAGAACTTCACCACAAGATGACAGGGTGACACAGAGTTCATTGTTTCCATGGCAACTAAAGGCCAAGCCCTGCTGACGTTACTGCAAGAATCAATACCGGCTCACAATGAGCTGATACATTGCATCACTTTGAAAAAGCGTCACATTCTAGGGAGGTGAAAGGAAAAAGAAAAACAAAGAATCCTGCTTCCAATCACAGCTTGTCTGACACAGATGATCACATCCGTGATTGTTGAGAAAAAGAAACACTCGACTCTATCAAAACCGTAAGCCGTGGATCACTTCTGTCCTGCAGCATGTTGAATGGCACTTAATCACTGAAGTGTGAATCAAACTACAGCACCGGAGACAACCACCTGGACTATTTCATTTTCCAGTCCGCGCTGAACCCGAATACGTCAGAAAAAGTGCGCGTGTGCGCAGTGTCGCTGTATTGTGGCGAAACATCTGCTAAAAGACAATGCTTTTGTGTTTCTGCTAATGGCGGCACCCACTTAACTGGCGTGAATGAAGCGAGGGTATTGAAGAGGATAATGAGAGGCGGTGATGCAGCCATGAAGATTGCAAGAGGAAAAGCCTTTAAACGTGGGGACGGCTGTTTCCTTTCACATAAAGAGAGAGAGAGAGAGAGAGAGAGAGAGAGAGAGAGAGAGGGGTGCAGTAATGACAGTCGCCGCACTGTAAGCTTGACAACCGTTACAACGACTCGGTGCCCTCAACGGAGCGTAACTGTCCACTGAATCCTCAAATGAGAAAATGCATTCCACACTGACTGGCTGGACCAAGAAGGACTAGCGAAAGGTGGCAAGGTGTGAGAACGTCCCAGGTCACATCAG